TTTTTTTTTTTTTTTTTTTTTTCATTTATTTGGGTCAACAAACAGTAGACACAATAAAAACTTAAATGTAATTTTTTTACAGTAAATATGTAGTGATTGTGTCACCAATACCGTTAACCACTAGTTACTACAAAAAAACTGAGAAGTGGTGATGTATTTCTAATAAATTATTGAAGAGTAAATAATTAATAAATAGTTATTATGTACAATACTAAACAAATTAAACCTTGATACAAAAATAATAATAATAATTACTACATAAGTACACATGGGTACACACAAATACACACATAACGAGTTATATTGTATGACACAAGATTCCAAGGTTTAACATAAAAGGAAAAGAAAAATAATAATTGAGCAGTAAAAGACTTCATACATCTCTAAGCAAGTTCAAAATTATATTTTTAAACACACCAATGCGGGTAGATAATATGTCTACAGAGTTAAAGTGGGTATTGTAATTTTTCATTAATCGATACACGGGCGAGCGTATTCCAGCGTTTGTACGACAAACACCGGTAGCAAATGGTGAATATGCTTTGCGAACGCTGCGATAGTGCGTTCTAACAGGGACTCTGTAACGCAGCTTGTTGTGAAGAGGTATACAGTCATATCTATCATGGCACAAGTCGTAAAGCAACATGGTTTCCAGCTGTAAACGTCTTAATTTTAGTGTAAGCAAATTATATTTTTTTAATAAATTTTCATACGAGAGTTTTACATGAAAGCATTTATAATGCATTCTTCGTAGAAATTTCTTTTGTACAGATTCGAGGGCTTCATTATATTTCTTATATATGGGATTCCAAATGGGTACAACATACTCAAGTTGAGAGCGAATTAGTGACTTGTAGATGTGAAGAAAAGTAGATGGCCGCGTAAACTTATCACAGGAACGCATGGCGAAACCGTACATTTTATAGGCCCTGTTGATTATAATATCTACATGCGTGTCAAGGTGAAGCTTTCTGTCTAGCGTTACTCCGAGATCTCTAATGGAATCGACAACTTCAAGACGAGTGCTACTCAGCGCATAGGTACTGTTAATAAAATTCCTTTTTTTAGTAAAAGTAATCGATTTACATTTGTTTATACTGAGACTCAGCTTATTATTGACACAGTAGATTATAAACCTATCCAAATCTTCTTGAAGTTTCCGACGATCGTATTCGTCTTCAATCGTATGATAGACTTTAAGATCATCGGCGTATAAAAGAAAATGGCTAAATTTAAAACACAGATGTATATCGTTTATAAACAAGATAAACAACAAGGGACCCATTATCGAGCCCTGCGGCACCCCAGAAGTCACCGGAACAAGACCAGACTCAAATCCTTTGATAACCACCCTTTGTGTACGGTTTTCTACATAGGATTTAAACCAGCGCAATAGATTGCCTCGAATACCATTATAGGCGAGCTTCGCGAGAAGAATTTTGTGGTCCACTCTGTCAAAAGCTTTCCGAAAGTCAGTATAAATACTGTCTATTTGCTTATTTTTATCTAACCCTTCAAATAGATAAGTTGTATATGACAGTAAGTTGGTAGCAGTAGAGCGTTTTCTTACAAAACCATGTTGTTCTTCAATAATGATGTTGTGTAAGGCCGGATATATGATATTATGAACTAATCTCTCAAAAAGCTTTGACAGAGTGGGTAATATAGATATGGGGCGGTAGTTCTCCACATCGGTTTTGGATCCACTTTTATGCACCGGTACTATACGGGCAGATTTCCAGACCGTGGGAAATATTCCTTCTTGCAAACATCTATTAAAAAGGTAATGCAAAGGCTCACAAATTGATAAGGCTGTGGATCTAAAAAATAGCGGAGGGATTCCATCCAATCCAGGTCCTTTGGTAGTATCAAGTGTTTGTAGCTCCTTAAATATAGTCTCGTAAGGTACTTGTATACTGTTAATTATTAAATCAGAATTGGCATTAGTATCCGGAATGTTATTTATGTCACAATCACTATCCACACTCGAGGGTTCGAATACCGATTGGAAAAACGCTGAGAATAGATTGCAGATGTCCACAGGATCTTTTGCTATCCTATTTTTATATGAAACCCAGTTGGGTATGTCCACGTTATTATTTCTATTATTAATGTATGTCCAGAAGTACTTAATATTATCATGTATACTGTCTTCAACCTTATTCATATATTTCCTGTAACACAAATTAGACTCAGATTTAAATCTCTTCCTATAAATACTAAAAAGTTCATAATCCGATTTATTTTGGTACTTTTCCATTTTATCCAACTATTAGTTTTGTTTTTAAATATATGTACAAGGGCTGGCGTGAACCATTGTGGATACTGAGTTTTCTTAATAGCTTTAATGGGGATATGTTTTTTTATAATTGAATATAAAACTTCGTAGAAGGTTGACACTGCATCATCAGCATTTTTTTGTTGTAATAGATCTTTCCAATTTATCTTCTGAATTTCCGTATTGATTACACAGTAGTCGGTTTTTTTATAATTGTACTTTATTATCGGTTTGCTGTAAATAGGCTTAACACATCCATTTACGGGAACCAATACATAATAAGGTGGGTGGTATGCATCTGGAGGCACAAGTGGGACTAGTGCGGGTAGTACCTTGCAGTCTAGATTATTTGTAATGCAAAGATCCAGTATTCTTCCTAAATAATTTTTTAGATGGTTAATTTGGTGACAGTTAAGCAATGACATGAAGTTAATTAAATGTTTATTAGAGAGACAATGAGAACTACTTATTACAGGCCTCATATATGCGTTACATTCGGACCATTCTAGTGTTGGTAAATTATAATCACCAACCACGATGAAATCATTTATGTCAGGCATTTGCAAATGATATGTCAATAAATCAATATACGGAACATAAACATCCGACTTAAGATCTGGCGGGATGTATGTGGCACTGATTACGCAACAGTAGTTGCGTGAGCGAATTTCGATCAGGACATAGTCAACGAGTGGCGATATCCGAAACGGTGACTCGCCGGCGGCGGCACGGCGAGGGGCAGCAGCCAGATCACGCCGCACCGCCACCAACACGCCTCCGCCATCAAGGCGGCCAGTACTTAAACGATCTCTGTCACACCGGAATACACGATAACGGGAATCTATGTACTCATTGTCAAATATGTCACCATGCAACCACGTTTCCAACAAAACAATTACATCATAATTATGTAACAAAATATTCATGTAAAGTGTGTGTAACTTTGTTCTCAAACCTCGACAGTTCTGACAGTATACAGATATCACTTGATTATCCATTGATTACGCTTACATTCTTACGTGTATTAATAAAAAAGTATAATAGTTTACTACGTAAATAACGGTTTATAAGTGTGTGCAATAACGTAAAAATGCATGCTATATTTAAATTAGTTCGTTGGGATATATATGTGCATGTTGTATAATCTTGTGTAAAAACCCTAATTTCATTTTTGAGATGCACAAAGAAAAATACTGTGTCAGTCATAATATAAACGTAGTTTTGGATACACGTTGCCGCTGCGCACTCGAACGTGAGCTCGTTATAAATAAAAGAAAATAAATCCACCCGCATTGTTATGATAATGGAAAATACCAAAATTAGAACAAAATTAAACAACAAAATATAGTGAAATGTGTGATAGCAATAGGTAAAACTTATGTTTTCGTTGAAACATGCAAATTTAAATGATTTTTGATATGTCTTGGGGTGAACGGATAGCAATAACCGCGGCAGTGTCCGATTTACGTGCCAGGATCGTTCCATGTTTGATCCACACGTATTTATATTCATATTTTCTTGCAGCTTCACGACATTGACGAAATAAATGTTTCTTTTTAAGTGTAAGGTGCTCATTAACAAATATTTTGTGTGGGGAGCCTGTTATGGATAGTTTAGTGGTGTCCAATCCCTTTCCAGTGCGGTAAGCTGAAATAAAATTATCACGTAGCAGCCTGGAGGTGAGTTTCGCAATGATATTTTTTGGACGCGGATTCTTTTGGTCCGCATGAGGTACTCGGTGAACAGATGTAATGTCAGATATTCTTATCGGATGATTTATTTCATTCCCAATAGATTCCAATATGTGCACAAGGTTTTCGTTGCGTCTTTCGGGTACATTACATATTTCAATATTACATTCCCGAGCTTGTTGCTCCAAGTCCGCCACCTTATTCTCGAGAGCTTGTAATTGAGTTGACAAAACGATAGTAGGGGAAATTTTATCCTCAAGGGCTTTTATTTTGTTGTCAAATAAGTCCTGTCGCTCAGCTGAGAAGTTTAAAGATTTCTCCATATCAGTCAGGCGCAAGTTGGTCTCAGTCAGCGCATTATTAATGCGGACGTTGTCTGCATTGAGTTTTTGTATATTGGTATTTATATCTGATAGTGTGGCTGATAATTTTGACATTTCGCCGGCCAGAGCAGAATTAACGGCAGCCGTTATGCCACCCGTTATACTTTGCGCTATTTTCTCATTCCACATCAACAATTGCTGTTCAAATTTTTTCTCCAGTAATGCAATTGCATCTTCTACGTCAGGTTGTTTACGCTTCCGAGGGTTTACATAAAGGATTTCCGTGTCAGTAGACAGGGGTATATCGGGGTTAGACGAAAATTTATTAGGTGGAGTGCGTTGCAAAGCCATCTTCATATGATGTCTATATCCCTGATCACGATTTGACACAGTTCACTATTTCACTTGAATTAGTACCAAACACACAAATATTACGATCGAGTTTACTGAATTGAAGAAGATCACTCACAAGTAGAAAATTTTTTTTTTATTTTTATTTTAAGGTAGAGACACAACCACTCTCGACAAGTGTCACGAGGATGATTTTGATTGATTTTGGCGATGAAACACCATGCAAGACGACTATTTATAGCTGGTTTGCAGAATTCAAACGCTTCAAATTTTTAGGCATAGGCATGAGTCAAATACAATCAATACTACACAAACATTTGGGTGTGAAAAAGCTGTGCTCTCGGTGGATCCCACACAATTTGACTGAGGTTCAAAAAACGGATCGCATCATTTGGTGCAATGCCATGCTTACCAGATTCAACCAAGCGGCGTAAAATTTGGTGTGGTACATAGTAACAGGTGACGAAACATGGATTTATAGTTACGAATCCAAAACAAAGCAGCAATCGAACGTATGGGTCTTTTGTGATCAGCCGAAACCAACCAAAGTGGCGCGCGTGCAAAGTGCCTCTAAGCGGATGATTGCTTCTTTTTTTAATAAAACTGGACACGTGGCTACTGTTGATTTGGAGAATCGTTGTACCTTGAGTAGTGATTGGTACACGACCATTTGCTTGCCGGAAGTTATTGACAAACTCCGTAAAAATAGCCGTAAACGCCGTATCACCTTGCACCACGATAATGCCAGTTCTCACACGGCCAGACAGACAAATGATCTTCAAAAATAGGTGAACAACGCTGACCTTATGAGCCATCCCACATACAGTCCCGACCTGGCACTTTGTGACTTTTATTTATTTCCAAAAATTAAGAACCAGTGCCCGTGTAGGGCAAGGATTTTCATCACCTGATGAGTCTGTCGAGGAGTATGGAAAAATATGTTTCAGAGATTGTCACGTAGGAGTGGCATACATATTTACAAAATTGGTTCATTCGTATGAAGAAGCCCATTAACGCTAACGGAGAATATTTTGAGAAACAATAAATTCATTTCTGACCATTTATCGTATTTTTTTTTTATTCATTCCGGAAACTTATGGTTCGCCCCACGTATAACAGAAGCGATCACTTCTATTGTTTGGATTCTCCATTGAATATATGATGGATTCGTGACGTTCGATGCTCAACTTCGTTAGATACCACATCTACATAAGTTCTACCGTAAAATTGTGACGAATAGATTGGCCCATCTGCCTAGTATACCGAATTTGACAAAATCTTGTTTGAAAATAACAGGTTGTTTCCTATATTCGTCTATTATCTAGTCTATTATTTATTTATATATTTTTATATAAAGTTTAATGCGTAATACACAGACGTAATACCAACAAATCTTGATTATTAGAAACGGGAAGAAAAAGAGCCGACATCGAAGGTCGAAAAATAACTAACTTCTACTATATTTATTGTTATGTGATATATACAAACCTCTTCCATCAACTGCTTGACTTCCTTCTTGACGGCGGCAATGAGTCGCTCCTTATGCTCGGTGCTCGGGTCGGCCGCCGTCGTGCCCGGCATCTCTTCAGGCGCACTCTCCGCTACAACAAAAGAGAAATAGGACATTATTGCAAAGTCCGGAAAATAAAGAATTGCCAGACAAAACTGTATTATTATATGAGGCGGGCAAGCTCCGTTCCCGCCGATGAATATGTTGTTAATTAGTGCTGTTCTCAAACAGTATGAAGAAATAATAAAAGACCAAGGATCATATTCCAGAACTCTACTCAATGCTCAAGTCAGGACTTGAGCATGATTTCAAGCACTGGAAATACGACCCTAATGGCAAAGACTTGAGTATGATTTCTAGTGCTTTAAATCATACTCAAGAATTGAGTAAAGTTCTGGAATACGACCCTAAAATAATGAAGGCAAATCTATATAATAGAAAAAGTAAAACAAGATTTCCACGACAAATTTTGCTTCTTATTTTAAATTAGGCGGACTAGAGTTCATTATTGTGTTTTCGCTTTTCTCAAAAGAACTCATTTTCGCCAGGAAAATAGAAATAACAAAAAAGAACTTCAAAGTTTTTTTATTTTACCGCCTTTTTTTAAGAATGTGGTGCAAGCATTGACCTACGTAACTCAATTACGGATACTTAATCGAATACGAAAACTTAATATAGGTTACATAGGTATATCATTCCTGGTGAACTTCTTTTAAGCATGAAAATAAGTATTTTCTGACACAAGTGTGTCAGAAGCCACCGCTCCTCCAATCCGGTACAATTATTACTTAGATTAATTGCTGATCTTATTTTATGTTAACTAATTAAAATTAAAAATTAATTATGTGGATGAGTGCAAGTGTGTGTGTGTGTGTGTGTGTGTGTGTGTGTGTGTGTGAGTGTGCGTACGTGCGTGTGTGCGTGCGTGCGTGCGTGCGTGAGTGAGTGCGTGCGTGCGTGCGTGCGTGCGTGTGTGTGTGTGTGTGGGTGCGTGTGTGTGTTCGAGAAGCTGATTACTTAGACCGAGACTCGCATAAGATTTTCAACTTCATTATAATTTTTAGACTTTAACCATTTAGTTGTCTCATTACGACATAATAGATATATTTAAAACTTTATAGCACTGGACAGCAATGGATTTGCATACTTATTTTGCCGACCTATGCCGTCAAACAGTTGCACGCTCCCTAAATGACAAACTTTGTAAGTTCTGTTTTTTTAAAGTGTTTTTAAAGTTTTTTCCGAGCGTGTTTGAAATAAATCTATAAACTACCGAGAAATGGTAACAAATTGGTGTTGAAAATGAGGAAAAGCGTACATATTCAAAATAAGAAACAAAAAACAAAATAAAAAATTCAAATCCAAATGTCCAAAAATTATTTTAGTGGTTTATTGGAGGTCCCAAAAATTATTTTATCATATTATTATGAAAGTCATAAAAAATAATACGAGCTACACCGCGCTTTTTATAATAACTAACGGATTTGCGTTTGGCAACTTTCGAGATATTTTTTAATTTTTTTTATTGAGATATTGGCACCAAAAGTGATTTTTCTCTGTATAATGGCAATTGCGCTGATTTCGATAAACGATTAAACTGAAAGTAAATAAGATATTGAAAAACCGATTAGAAGAGGTTGTAGACCTGATTTAGCTGATTCCAGATAATGTTAATAACACAATTTCGCTGAAATTGTTAATTACCTTAGTTATGCTGAGCAGGGTAGTATCACAGTATTACAGTGAAACTGTGGTAGTATTATGTACTCGTATTACGGAATCTCATCATCAATGGATTTACTAAAAAAAATCGCAAAATAATTCAATGTACTTGCTTGTGTGCAAATATACAGTTACTAAGTAGGTTAGATTAAATTATAATAATAGGTTTTAGAGCTCCTTGTTACCTATTTCTGCCGCGAAGCAGTAATGTATTCCGGTTTCGAAGGGTAAGTGTGCTGGTGGAATTACAGACACATGGGACTTGTCAACTTATGTCTCAGGATGTCGGGCGCAGTGGCAGTGCCCCTCAGATCGTTGTGATTTAAACATCGAGAGTGGCACTGCTACTGTTACACTCAACGCAAACTGGCGCATAATCGAAGCGTCGCGTCCTGTTTTTCGACTACAACGCCTGGCGACGCGCCACGACGCTCGCATTAGTGCGCCCTGATCACAGTGTGGTCAGCGTCTGACGCCTCACTACGCTCAAGTAACGCGCGGCGACACTTGACTCCATGTTTGTATAACACAAATTTGTATCTTAATAATGGTTAATAGAGATGAATATGCTATAGGCAGGCGAAAAACATGACGTGTCGCGACGCTTCGACTCTGCGCCAGTGTGAGTTGAGCCTTAGGGATAGGCGTGTCTCTTACCACTATGCACACGACTTGTTCGTCCCGTTACTTAGTATTATAAAAAACAAGATTCTTTAACGTTCATTCTTTTACTTTTTCCAAACATTCGCCTCCTAATTAACCCGTACATGAACAAATTATGTGTATTTGAAATTACACAACTCTCCTATTGAAATAGTTATCGACAAATTTCGTTCGAAGAATCTTTAAACGTCTCTCCTGATAATTTGTCATTTTGCCGATGTGACCGTATTACACTAAGGGTGCAAAATATTGAACTAAAGAAAACAGGAGAAAAAGTATTCTTTGATGTATAAATAAGTACTTGGGTATTCTACCCACACTTGTTCCACGAATATTTAATTTTGAAAAATGAAGTCAATTTGTTACATAAACAACCCACGAACAACACACTTTTAAGAAGGGAACGTTTCAATAGTAACTTCATAAGAATCGGTACTAATTCAGCTCAAATTCGAATTTTTCCCGTACTAATACGACTCATTTTGCTTGAGTCGAGCGGCAGGGGCGCACTGGCTTATTATTTAAATATAAATATAAATTATTTCAGAATTTATTTTTTTACAAACGGAATTAAAGCCATTTCAAAAATGTATATCGTATAATATACGTTTTCTGTTTAGTTCAGTTGATATTAAAAAATCATTAGTATATGTAAAGTTTCTATTAAATACAGCGGTTTTCTTGTAAAATTTCGAGATATGTCGTGAAAATTGTCAGGGATCGTGTTTTCAAGCCGTATAGTAATCAGTGTATACCTATCCTCAATTTTACTATGTATTTTTTCCAAAGGGATTCATTCAACGCTTTCACTGTTATGCAGAATCACCTAAAGCCATTTCAGGTTGTATAGACTCTTAAGCCATTTGGTACACAGTTACATTACTTCTTTTGAAGGAACTAAGAAAGCAACACCATTTTATAACTTACGACCTTCATTATTCCTTATTGCAACGTTCATTTCATTAACTCGAAAGGTGATATAAAATTGATGGCTCTTGTACGTATAGTTAACAGCACGTTGGGCTGAAGACTTTGGATTTTGAACTACCTTATTGTTTGCGTCATAAAGTTGACTTTAAATGTTAAATTTATTTCGAGTTCTTAG